TAATGCTTATGATTTTTGTATTGGTGATGGACTTGCATCAATAAGAGAAAAAGTTCTAACCAACGTAAAGAATCTGAAAACAACTGAAACATACGGTTTACCACTTAAAATTGATTTGAAAGTGGGCGCTAAGTATATGATGACAGTGAATATTGACACTGAAGATGGATTGGTAAATGGCGCCTGTGGAAAATTGATAATGATTGATTATGGAAAGCTTCAAAAGACTAATGAGACAGTACCATGTCGACTATGGATTAAATTTAATGAAGAGAAAACTGGAAGAAAAACCAGAGCTAATTTTCAAAATGTAATGCGATTAAGAAATATTGATCTCAGTCTCACACCAGTTGAACCAGTAACACGGCAAATAAATACAAGGTCAACAAATTTCAAAGTAGAACGTAAACAGTTCCCTGTAGTTCCTTGTGAAGCAATGACGATATATAAAAGTCAAGGTGGTACTTATGAAAAAGTCGTTGTCAATCTAAAGAAAGGGATGACACGATCTGAATTATATGTCTCTTGTAGTCGTGCAACAAAATCAAGTGGTTTATATTTAATTGGCGACTTCGTTCCACCAAAACCACCTGAACGTAATGATGCAGTAGCGACGATGTTCAAAAGCATGAGATCCGAACGAATGCTGAAATTTTCACTTGAATTTCCTGAAGAATCTTAAGGAGAAAGATTTTTCGTGATGTTTCATAATGTACAATCATTGAATAAACATATTTTGGATATCAGATCTGACAAAACATTCTTGTGTGCTTCTATGATAAGTCTTGTTGAAACATGGACAAAACCTACTGATTCTTTGGAAATTGAAGGTTTTAAAGTAATTCACAGACGTGATTGTAATGATACACGAAAACCACTCGGTCAAATCACTTACTTAAAAAATGATTTGAAGTGTGAAAATATCACCGAAAGATGTGAATATTCAGGAAAAGACCATATTGAATATTGCTCAATAAAAATTCATGATATTTGTATTGTTTCCGTTTACAATTCACCAAATTCATCATTTGATGTCTTAAAACGACATATTAATGAAGTTATATCTATTTCAAAAAGATTCTGTGAAGATATAATTGTTGTTGGTGATTTCAATATAAATTTGAAGATAAAAACCAATCACAAATTTATTGAATATATGGAGTCGTTCGGGTTGACTCTGATTAATAAATTAAATAAAAGTTCAACTAATGCAAAAACGCAAATTGACTATTGCTTCACTAATGTGAAAGACTTAAAATCTGATTATTTTGAAAGTCTTACAAGTTTTCATAAACCAATATGGATAAGAAAGCATAAAGTTTTGACTAAGTTTCATTTTGATGAAACCGAAGACAATCGTACAAATATACCTTTTAATATCGATGAGATTATAACTGATGATCAATCTGACACGATGGAAGTCGATGAGAAATTCGTTTTTGAATGCCATGAAACAGTCGATAAAAACGAACAAATTGACTTAGATATGTCTTTCCATTTGGGAGATCTCAAAGTTAATGATCCATCTGATATGATGGATATTGAAGAAAAATCTTCTTCCGAAAATCATGAAATCATTGATTCAAACTCGAGAAAGATTCTTGATCAATTTCTTCTTGTACTTGATTTAAATAATACTACAGACACTGATCAAATCTCAAGTCAAGCTCAAGTAATCAATGATGTAATTGAAAAATCACCGTTTATAACTATGCAAAATAAAGACCGATTCGTCCGGTTAGAATTGGAAACAGAATATTCTGTTCAAGCATTTGACTCAGTTTATGCTCGAACCCGCACGACTGCAGATGGCAATTGTTTATATAGTTCTCTTTCGATATTAAATATTGGATCTGAAAAACTAACACATTCGATGAGATTGTTGGCAGTAAATGCAATGATCAATAATAGCGATTATTTCCGAACACTTTGTAAATCATTGGGTTATTCATTTGAAGAACAGTTGAAAAGAACTGCTAAGCATAAAATATGGGGTGGAGAAGTTCAAATTCAAGCTCTCTCTATAGCTCTATCTCATCCTATATATTCATATACCCGATTTAACAACAATCCAGAAAATAGGCATTATATACCACCGAATATTAGCTTGGAGGAATTGATCGATCGATTTAATGAACGGACAGCAGGTGGTCATTTGAAATACG